ATCTAGAAATATCCAGACTTGGCATCTAATGCGATCTTCCATTTTGTAGATTTAAACTTTCTTGATTATTTCTTCAATTATTGCTCAGGGGTAAACTAGGTATTTTGTTGTATAATTTAGTTTTCTGCAGTGGATAACGAACTCCAGGCCTTAAAAATCGGTGGGAGGTAAATTATTTTTCTTTTTGTATCACATTACAGGGCTAGCATAGGGACTAGTCGTGGGAATTTTGCTTCTTAACAATAAATATATTTTTCTATGATCTCCTCTTTAAATTTTTCGAATCGTTAGGGCTTTGCTCTAAATAGGAGACGACTGTTTCCCATTTCTACCTCATTAACTCTAGCGTCTTATCAAATGGAATCGTTAACTCTAGCGTCTTATCAAATAGACATGAAAAATTTCTTGCTAACTATTGCAATTTTTTACTCTTTTCCAGAGTTAATTCTTTCGTATGCAAAGCTGTCGGCTGTACCTCTTTCTCCTTCAGCCTCTTCATGTCCAAATGCAACAACTCTTCCAGAAAATGGGTTCTAACACCAGCTGTTTCCGGGAAATCTATTCCCCAAATCCCAATTGTCTGCAAATTTCTAATCATGAAACAAACTACTTTATGCTGCTTATTTTTATTTGCAAAGTCCTATACATTCACAGTGTTTCCCTTGGGCTGTTATCATCTTAGTTTTTGTAACGTCAAACAATCTAAGTTTTCTTGGCTTAAATTTTTTCTTAAAAACCTTTTAAGCCAAGAAGCTAATCTGTGACTCAGTATCTAGCAGCGCAGCTGACGAGATTCCATTTAAGACGATTAGGTTATTTGGAAGTTTGCTTTCTTTAATGAGAGCCTTACGTAAGTGAATCTGAGAGACTTTCCTTTATTCTGCGGTGACTCACCTCTCTGACGCCCCAGACTCCTTTTTTTTTTTACTTTTACACCTTGAATGGGGCAGTCAACCACTGAGTTGAATTAGCATCTCTGTTATTATATCAGGACTTGTATTTCTCTTTACTTGCCTTGGAAACATGAAATGTCCTGACTCGGAACAGGGAGCATACTCAAGCTATGTTCAATAAATTGTGAAGTAGACAATACACACAGGAAGGGTATACGAAACCCTTTATTTTTCTATCTTTACAGAGATTTCCGGAACTTCGGAATACAGAGACCAACCACTTGTGGTCTGAACGTAAGAATATAAAACTACTAACTAAAACTCTAACTAAAACTAACTTTGGATTAATATACAGGTGCCTAACTTTAAGATTGGCCGTTATTTAACAAAATCCGTATGTAGTACAGAGAGCTGCTAAAACTACGATACGTTTGAAATTATCAAGAGGACTAAACCTCCGGCCTTGAAGGCAACCAGCAACCGAGTAAAACTACTATGGCAAGCAGCCTGCTTCTAATAACTCCTTCCTCTCTCTTGCTTGGCAAAACTTAAGTACTTGGCGTTAGCAAGACAAATTTGCATAAATAAGTTAAAGCTTTTAATTCTGGCCGGAAGTAGAAAATAAGAAGTGATAGTAAAGATTTAAAATAAAATAAACGTTAGTAAAACTTAGGATCCTTACAATTAAACCTCATCATCAGAATTATTTTATTAATTTGACTTGCATGATTTGCTCCCTGGGTGTGTCCTTTAATGATAATACAAAGATGGCATATCTACGGAAATGGCGAGCCATTTAACCGGGTAACTGATCAAGCGTCATGAACTTAGAAAATATGTAGGTGTAGAAAAAAGAGGAAAGAAGAGACATATTATGGTCGCAGAAACATAAATAAAATAATATAAATTATAGATAGATAGATATAGATATATTCACAGCATCTCTACCTAGCTTAAAGGTTTCTCCTTGCCAACACCCACTTTCCTTTTATCGAAAATGTTTTTAACTTTGACTTGGCGATCGTCGACGAAAACTTTTGTTGATCACCGAAACTTTTCTTTGGTAATCATCTTGTCTACAGTAGACGAAAAAGGTCCCTTGTCATCTCCTTCATCTATAGGACTTCGAAAACTCCTACTAAATCTTTCACGAAACCTCTGCCTACTCATGTTCTGAAACATGTCGACTTTCAGATTACACAGCTAACTCAAATGACTGTTCTAAACGTACCAGGGTTTATCAATTCGATAAAATCCTGTATATGCAGCAACAAACTCGGCAATTTTATTTCAATGTCTTCTGCATCAGGTTTTCTATCGCATAATATCTTCACAACTTGGATTTATATCAAAAGGAAATCTATTAAATCATCCGCATTCGTCTGATATTTACCTAACAGCTGTAATTTTAATTTCGCTCTTTTTAAACCACAGTAGTCTACGCTAGCAACTTTTCTAACATCTGCAACTCTGTATACTATAAAGTGACTTTGTGAGCTTTCTAAAAAAGTCGAAATCGAACGTTTACCTTCGAAACTACTGGATTTAATCGATGCAAGCATAGTATCCAAAATATACCCGAATCCTTCCATACGGCTTGTTGGCGTTGTAAAACTTGGAATCATGGGGGGCGGGAAGTTGCACCGTTGCGAGCATATTTCTTGAGAGTTAGGCGCCAGTTATACGACCCTAACTATGTAGAATTAACTCCTTATGACCCTATTAGATTGATAACCAGTTTATCTCTCCGTCTGAAATATTATGATAACGTCCAAAGTCGATTTAAGTAACATTTTTATTAACTCTAAAAACTGAGCAGAAGGCACTGCTTGTGCTTACAAACAAATTTCCGTTACTCGAGGATAATATAAAGTAACAAAGTTGGAATTACAAATAAAATTATCATAAGTGAAGACTACACAAATTGGCCTACTTAAGCTGGCTCACTATTTTAACGGTGCGTTTTAACGTTGGTTATGAGAATGGCTAATGCCGGATTATTCACTGGACGAGCTGTGCGATAGCCTGTAAACTGAAGGCATCGTTGCAAAAAGTTACGAGCTTTTACCTGATCTAGAACTGGTAATTAATCCAATAACCTCAACGGACGTAAAGCAAATTATGGGAATAATTACAATTACTTCCTACTATCTCGGGAATAATTACAAAGCTGTGGGAAGGTTTTAATAATATTTTATTAAACGGGATTTAGAACATAAACTCAACTTCCTGGTCTAATAATATCAACCACAGCTCGTGATGTTGTAACTAAACGAAACAGTCAAACTCAAATTAAAAAGTAGATCAGTAGCCAACGATTACACAATTTAAATCTTAAGCTAAGCTAGCTCATTAATTATGCTAAGCTGAAAAACTTACTCAATAATCAACCGGAGCATCAAAATCTATTCGTCAGCAGCGAATATTGCAGAGTCGAAAATTAAAACTATAAGAGCTGTCAAAGAACTAACCGTAGCGTGCACGTACGCGCAGGCCAGAAACACGATCTGTCCTAATCCAAACAGCTCCGTTTCAATGCCAACCAAATCGTTTACATTTTGTTGATGAAAAAGGGAAGAAGTTATAGTAAAGATCCAAACCATAAAAAACTGGTTAATTTAAATAATAATAACCGTACGAGCTCTATATCTAAAGCATTCAAAACCCCCCACTTAAATACTTTTCAATATAATTTGCATATTGGCCAGGATTACGGAAAGAAGAAATTACAGTAAAGTTTTAAACTATAATAATTGGTTGCTTAAAACAAAATATCTACAACTGTCGCAAGGAATGTTCCCGAACAAAGCAAATATACTGTTTAATAATTGCAGATATGATCTGTTCTTTTTAACCACCCATGCGTGACCACGTCCTTTTTCACTTTTTCAATCATTCATTTTTCATAGATCTTTTTCAGGTTCTCCTTAATAATGCCTGTTACCCCTTACAAATGGTTATTTAACCCTCTGGCTGATCATCCGCGATTTCCACGGGCAACTCAAACGTAGCAAAATTTTCTCATCCCGCGATTTCCGCGGGCATATGTTTTTCTTCCTTTATTGAGGAGCGCATCCCGTTTTTTCCCGTTTAACCATTGAAATAAATTGTATCCAGTATTAGGTGTTTAGTTTACGTTTTGGCCAACAGATATCGTTAGTTGTCCACTAAATTGCGGCATTTGAAGGCACGTGGTATTAGCGATCAAACTTCACTTTTTGCCGCTTTTTTCTTACAGAAATGGCTGCTAGAAAACGGTCAGCGATTATCTTGATTATTTAATTAAATTATTGAATGATTGATTAGATTAACAATTAGATTGATTATTAATTAGATTTATTGAATCTGGTGCAAAGACTGTGAGGTTTGAACTCTGTCACACTAAACTGCATTTTTAAGGTATTTTTCTCTCAGCGCTTTATATTTTCTTAAATTTTATACATTTTACTTTTTTATATTATGCAATAAATAGAAATTAACTGTAATTCGGCTGAAATTTATTTTAAAAAAGATTTTTTTGTGATAACATCTGAAATTGGTTTTTCTGGCAACTTAGTTTCTCATGATAAAAATCTATATAAAAAATATTTTCTAGAAAGAAAAAGTGCATTTTTCAATTTTCCTATATATATATAGATTTAAAATATGAAAAAAAAAAAAAAAAAAAAAAAAAAAAAGCAATTTTGGAAGCGATTTTAGCCCACAAATTGAGCAGTCAGAGGGTTAATACATAAACGAAATTATGGCATTGTGTAATGTGCAATGTAAAATGTTTGCTCCTGTAGCATAAAAACATTTGAAATACGAAGCATTTGTTGTCCCTCTTATAAGCTGCCGATGTTCCACGAATACACCAGCTTTTGAAACTGCTGAATGACTTTTTGCATTGCAATAAACAAAGCTGCAGTTTGTTTACTATAAAAACAGTATTTCTTTTCCTTGAAACTTTAAAAGAAATAACTAGAATTTAGCAGTTCGTAACGGGCTTTTTAATAATGAAGTGTTTTGCTTGGATATAATTAGTTTCTTTTCAGATTTCTTGTAGATTTTTAACCTCCTTTTTATTTTTATCGTCTCAAAATCTAATATATTATGTCTCCATTTCAGGACCTCGTTTCCAGATTAATACCATATCTTCATACATTGACGCCAATTTCGTATATGGCAGCAACCAAGATGTGGCTAGCAGATTGAGAGAATTCCATGGAGGTAAATAAAATAAATTAAAAAGTCTTACTACGTTTCACAATCGAATGAAAGAAATTAATTTTGCTGTGCCTTTTTTATATTATTAAGACACCTTTTTGAAACCTTTATTCTAATATCTTTCTGGGAAATGCAATAGATTCCTAATGATTAAGTCCCAGGTATCCGGAATTCCTGCTATACAAAGAGCTTATTGTTCTCTACTATGAATAAAATTAAGCTTTAATTAACATAAGTCAATTTACATAAATATTTCTAATTTACATGTTTTGTTTTACTGCAATAAAATGTAATTTATAATTTTGGTCCTTGAAAATGAAATCAGGATTATTTATTTAGTTTTACGATCTCAATGTAAATAAAAATTAAGTTCACTGTTCAGTTTTAGTTGAATCAGAAATGGTTTAGGTGTTTAAAGCACATAAACAGCAATTTCATTATTAAACCGTGTTGAGAAAATTTGCATTTTGTGTTTTGTTTAATGGAAATAAATGTATTTTATTTTTAAATTGAATTGCCTTCGCTTAAATAAGATATAATAGCTATAAATATTGAATTCTCTCACTTGTACTACATTAAACATGTATTTAGACTGCAGGGAACAAAATTACAGGAAAGCTTTCCGGACTTTTTCAGATAGCCTATGGCTCCAGGTAATTCATATAATTGGAGTTCTATTGAACCTGGCATGCTATTTTTAGTTATCAGTTACTCTATTTCTTTAAATAGTGATTTTCATGTATCTGCATAATGAAATGTAGTTCTATCCCGAATCTGTAACTAATAATGTTATTAAAATCCTTATAGGAATAATATAAAGTTTCTGAAATATGAGTAAAAACTTTTTATTAACTTTGGGAACTACATTTTCAAATTATAAAACATTAATTAAGTTCTATATTATAATTTGAAGCATTTCTTTATTTGCTGTCTTACTATTACTTAAAATGTTTTTAGAGATCTTCTGTTTTGATAATGTGATGTTTTTCCATCTTACGACTGCAAACAGGTAAAGACTGGTACAATCTTTCTACCTGCTTGTGGTTAAATACATTTTTACATAAATGTTTGTGTGTGATATCTTCTGCGGCCTTGAGTAGCAAGCATTCTCTTATTCACAATATAAAGTATTTTCTACCTCCTTTCCACATACCTTCGTGGGGTAATTGGACGGTAATTGAATTCGTGGGGTAATATTTGACGCGTTTTCAGGAGGTCCAGAGTTTAGTCCTGGCGAAGGCATTGCACATTTTTCACGTCTGCTGCTTCAAAATAACTAATGACTCGAGAAGTAGCTCCCGAGCTAAAAGGTGGTAGACGATAATTCGTCACCACCACGATTTGGCGACTAGAGTGCCATAACCTCCAATCGACCAAAAGGGGGGGGAATATAAAGTATTTTCCCCTCCTTTCCGCTTGCCTACATGGCGAATTGGGAGCATACTCGAAGCGTATTCGAGAGGTTAAGGGTTCGAGTCCCGGTGAGGACAATGGACGTTTTCCCAGTCTCCTTCTTCAAAAACCGAATTACTCTACAAGAGCACTACGAGTTTCAGAAAAATAATTTAACTGTTAATGATGTACATGTTCAAATGACAGTCATAACGCGGCTGCAATAATAATTGTACAGGATAACACGAAGCTCATCTGCCACCATATCTTAAATCCTTAATCAAATTTATTGACGCAGTGTTACCTTAAATGCGCATGTATACCATTTGTCACTTCACCAGAAACATTGCTATGTTTTGAAAATAGATGCCGTCCATCCTGATTATGAACTAGTTTGTATGTGTGATAAGTAAGCTCAGAATGCAAAATCCGACACTGAGTTTCTTGATGGGTTAAGGACCGATTCATCTTCGAGTACCAAATATTTTAGGCTTCTACTGATCACATTCCTAAGCCATTCAGTGTTTCGTAGAGAGCGAACTGATTTGGCATTCCCTCTTCTTTTCTTACCCCATGCAAAAGCTACTCAGCAAAATACAAAAATATGTAACGATCAGATTCCTCAAATACCTTCCAGTGTGCAGTCCAGATATCCACTGCGTCATGAACAGGACCATTCACCATCTTTGAAAGATGTCTCAACAGCAAACTTCCAACCAATGTTCTATGTTCAATATGGTAGATGATACTTAAGTCACCCTATAATATGCATTTAATTTACTGCTATAATTTTGTACCACCCCGTTACATAAACTCATATTTAAGATGTTTATAGTTGTAAGAGGAAAAAATAAGACTTCTATTGAGATACTGTTACAATACGAAACGATTTTATGTTTCTTAGAACGAAAGGAATGTCAACTCTCGGATACACGAAAGTCAAAGTTTATCCTCCTAGATATATTCATACTCATGCTCCTGATCCTACCTCTATATCCCTTCATAAGTTTCAGTGTCTACTTAAAAGAGGTGAAGAAATTGATTTCTGTCTTATAACTAGGAATTCAGGAGCGAACGAGTTGCAGTTGCTCCTACTTACCATATAGGGGAAAGGAACTTCCAGAATTTAATGTCAGTTTGAGGCATTCATACGCTAAGATAACAGAAAAATTAGCTTAAAATAATTGTGATCATGCTAACTATGTTCTGTCTTTGCTAATACAAAACCCAATCGCACGCGTAGTCTTTGATCATCTACAAGATAAGAAACACTCATTTCGTCAGTTTTCTTTCACTAGTTCTCCATTTGTTTGATTCGAGTTAGATGTTTAGCAAACAGTTCTGGAACCTTTCACAAAAGTACTCGGACAGCTGTTCTTAGTATGACAAGGCACGATCAGTAGTTATCTCCTCAAGCTATTAAGAATGTTAAACACAATTCAATGTAAAGTGCATCTAAAGAGCTAAACAGAGATCTCTCAATACTCCGAAGTCAACTCTAAACTAAAAACAGAGAACTGATACTCTCTCCAGTTGTTATATAGTTTCCTCGGCCGCCGAGGAATTTTCAGTACCTTCCATCCCTCGAAATTACTGGAAGGCATACACAGTTAAAGCACATATATGGGCCGGATATGGCTGCAGTTACATATAGGAATCAATTAGATTTATTTATTTATACTGCCAATTACAGCTATACAGGAACCAGACCAAAATGTCGCGAAATGGTCACCAATTTTGACGACTTTTGGCTATTTCTCCTCAAATTTGGCTACAAAAAGTAGTCACCGAAACCATTGCCAGTTTAGCTATATCTCACTAATTTAGCAAGATAACTATTTATCTCAATGTTAAATAGACTTGCCCTTGCAATCTTATTTTTCCGGCAAAGCTTCGCATTCCTTGAAGCCGTTCATGTTATAGTATGCGAAATTCGTAACAATATTCGCCACAATTCATCTTTGATGAGCATCCGCTTAGATTTCCTTTCCATTAAAGGCACCTCTTTTAATAATAATAATAATAATAATAATTCTTGAAGCAGAAGACGTTAAAATGTACAGTGATCTTGCCGGGAATCGAACCCTGGACCTCTCGAATATGCGTCAAGTATGCTTCCAATTACAGTTCAAAGGCATGCAGAAAAAAAGGAAGACAATATCTCATGGGATGTTCAAGAAACATGGCAATAGGCTTTATTTACTTAGCTGATGATCCTAAATTTGAAATTCTAATTTCAAAGTCAAAAAATTTGATACAGAATATTATGAATACAGTATATAATTAAAAGGAATCAGCAGATAAATGAATCCACCATTTAATATAGTTCTCTCGGAACAAATGTTCCATTAAATAAAATAAATATTTTGTTTGTCAATTGTTAAAAGTTCCATTCCTACAAGTAGAAAATTCACAGATATGCTTAGTAAGTATATTCATCAGGCTAACTATAAATTTAACAATGTTAGCTATTTTCCCAATACCAATTACATTAATAACCAAAAAGAGCATTTTTAGCTGCTCTCTAAACGTGGTCGAAAAGTTTAAAATTTTCTTAGATAATAGGCACTGAAAATTAATCGAAGTCAGTAAGTTTATCCCCGAATTTCTTTAAACATTTTTCACATAAATGTCTGAAACCTTTCGCATTTAACTTAAGCAGTCTTTATTATTATTTTACCAAATTGAATTTTTTCTGGACAAGGTACCTGTACAAATTTAGATTTTATATTTACAGGAGCCTTATGTTGTTGAACCTTTATACTGTTGAAACTATTTTCATAAAACTCTCTACCTTGCTTCATTGAACATTGCTGATTGAAACATTGTAATTGAAAGCATATATTTAGGATCAATTACTTAAGGCAATTTTTCCGCCTATTAAGGATCAATTTAAAATCTGTACTAACTCCGCAGGACGCATAATGCGTTTTGTTTAGCTATTATATAGAAGTACATCTTGAAACAATATTTATTATATACATATATATTTATATATATGTCTATTCTCTCCGTGTAAACTAATTAACGTTAAGTTATCAAGATAATATTTTTCGCAGTTGATGAAAGAAAAATTTAAACAGCGGCATCTATAATCGTTAATTCATTATCCAATATATACTATCATTAAATCCTTAAAATCAAGGATATACGTTTAGCAGAAATGAAAGCCAATAAGCTTACTGATAATATTGTGATAGTTTTCAATGGTGATGAGATCATTAATAAAATATCTTCTTTTTTAATGACCATTCCGTTGTTATTTTCCTGGAAAACTAGCTAGCTGTACAGATTTGGTTTTGGTTTTTCTTATATGCAACGTGGAAACGAGCTAGTTTCAGTCAAAAAGACCCATCATGAAGGCACCTTTTTCCTTGGCCAGATAGCTTCAGGTGACTTAAAAGATTTTTATAATTATTAAAGAAATACATGCTCAGTAGTTGTGAATGCTTCCAGAATTATCATTGCATAAAACGAAGGGAAAGAAACGCAGTGATACAGAATGTCATTAAAAGCAGAATCTGATTTACTTGATAAGAAAATTTTTATTTTTTTATAATATAAAAATGTGTCACGCTTCGTCTAATTATAAGAAAACAGAAATTTGTTGATAATGCATCCTATTTTTCTTCTTTCTCAAGTTCACATACGTCAAAGCGATTATCAGTTTCATGCTACCTTCGTTAAAATGGTGCAAGACCCTACTGCAACAAATCGCTGGCAAATTTCTTGGGTGACCATCACATTTAAGGAAATAAAGCTAATCATCAGCTTTTTCTGACATGCTGTTCACCCTTAAAATCTCTTATGTATTTTGAATTTTTAATTTTAATTATAGCAATCCTTTTAAGAAATGAATAATTAAAAATTAAGGTTTCATCTTCTATCAATCATTCAAGATTCACGCATCTTTAAACGTTAAGAGTTAAATAATGTTATTATTAAGCGTTAATTGTTTCTGACTTTTACAGCTATCTGTTTTATAATTGATTATAGTCAGAAATATATTTTGCAAAGTTCATAATATGGATTTTCATTTATTATCATATGGAAGATGTAGGTAATGGGGGAGATAAGGAATGAAAAAAATAAGCATTCACACTAAATCGATCAACATTTCAAATACTGAAGTTCAGAGCTGGCACATGACAATAACATACATTAACAATTACGTTACATATCGCTCTGATAGGCGAACAAAAAGCTAACAAAGAAATCAAGTAACATTGGTCACTGCATGTCATGATATTCGGAGGTATAAAATGCACATATGTTGGAGTAACGAATGCTTATACGTGTCCTAATGATGGGTTCTTCTTGCGCCAATTTTCATAAGGAACTCCTTTAAATTTTTTATCGGTAATCTATTTTACGGAAAGTTTGCTGCCGTAACACCTTCACTCCAATATTTGTTCGGAAAATTAGCGCTTTTTAGCGTGGCTCTTGTCATCTTAATTAATGTGCAAGTCTTTCTTTCAGCTGTTCCTTTCTGTTGAGGAGAATAAAGAGCACTTTTTATGTATATTCCATTTTCTTGTAGCAATTTTTCATATTCATTTCATATTCGCCTTCTCGATTTAACCTCCGTCGTTTTGGTACTTTCCAAAATTGTGTTAATACTTGCTTGCTGAAGTACGCGATACGTTGTTTAATTTCTTCTTTACTCTTCAGAAGGTAAACTGACAGGTATTTGCTATAATCATTATTGTTAGTATATATCTTGCACTATCTGGAATTACAGTTTGCGTAATTTCGCAAAGATAGGTATGCACTAAATACAGTATTTCAAGATTTCAAGAAGGATGCTTTCTGAGAAACAGTTCTTTATATGCTTAGGTAGCAGTACAGTCCTCACTTGTCAGTACACTAAAGCAGGTTTATGGCTGAAGATATTCACATCTACAGCCACTTCTTTATGCATCCTTAAAATATCTAAAATATATTTATGGCTTAATTTTATATGCCATTCATGAATACATTACGCACGGATTTTTTTCGTCTAAAAAGCGTGTTTACTTTCCTTAAGAACATAAAAACCTTTAAACACAATAACACGCCGAATAAATACTGATTCAGAAGTCAAACAACAAAATAATAAATTTTTGTTGTTTGACTTCTGAATCAATAAAAACCTTCTTTGTTGTACTCGGAAGATATTATATTATCCACTTTTAACAATCTGGCAATGCACACACTAAAGCTCCGTCTACACGAGAAGACAAAGTTGCCCATCGACATAGTAAAGTCTCCTTCGCAGATATGTCACCTGACAGTATTTTTAGTCTACACAGAGAGATTTTGTATCTATATTGCTCCGAGCTACTAAACCAATAAGAGCAGCCACAGCATATGACGTAATTAGTATTCAGCAGGAGACCTTCCTCGATCTCACATCAAACATAACAATTTGCCAAGCTTGCAATACCTTTATTTCTCAGGTCTTAATGTTTTAAATAAGTTGCAATGATAATAATAGTAGTAGTTAACAAAAAACTTAATAGCAGACAAAAGGTAACAATGATTAAAAATTAAAATAAAAATGCAAAATAGGAAAAAATAAAAACTTTAAATAGTTAATAAAGCGGGAATGAATTATGAAATATAATTGATGCATATGTGCATGGATACATACATACTTTTGTGGCTTTGACAACTGAAACAAGTCGGGAAAAGAGACAATTTTATTGAGACAGTTCATTTGTTTTGGTTCTTTAAAAAATTTTAAGTTCGCTTTGCCATTCGAAGTCTCAGTGCATTTGTTGGAACGAAACTTGTTTTAGTTGGTCTAGTTAATCAACTTGGTTTGAAGCTTCAAAACACTTTTCCCTTGACAGGTTGTGTTTGAAGCTTTGAACAAAAGAGATTTTTAAATGTTTTTGGTACTCATATGATTCCATTTTTTCATTTTATAAGCATTTTAGGTTCAAATATTGTTTATTATTTTTTTTTCTTTTTGCAATGTGTTTTCGAAAAAAGGCATAAGTTGCATTAAGTATTCTTACAGCTTTTTCCAGGTATTTTAATCCTAACTTTTTTAAATTCATAAAAGAAGAAAGTAAATCGATTACTTCATATATATCATAAAGTGTAATATACTTTACTCATAATTAGATTCATATAAAGCATCATTTTAAGTACATGAAAGAGGAAACACAAATTTTATCATTTTAAAAATAAAGTAAAAATTCAACAATTAGATTTATATAATTAATATAAAACTATTATGTAAATCATTACCTGATATAAAATTTTATGTATAATAATAAAATGATGTAAATCAAAACATTTTACGCATAATAATGAAATAATGTAAATCATAATATTTTACGTATAATAATAAAGAATGCAAACTTATGTGCTACATGTAGAATTTTTAATAATTTTTATATTAAACGAACTCTGTTAAGTTCAGAAATGAAGACACAATAAAATATTTTTATTTTCATTGGGAAAGAAAACATAAAATAGCTCAGATTCGAACTCACAGTCTGCTAGTTCATGGAAAGTCTAAACGCTTCAGTAAATTCATCGAGCGATCCAGCTAGTTAGACCCAGTTTAAGAGCCTAAAATCATTAACAACAGAAAATCAGAAATCCAAACAAATGGAAACAGACAACAAATTAGGCTTTTCATATTTGAAAAACTTCTCAGGACATAAGAATATAGTAATTCCTTAAACAAGAAAAAATATTTTATCAGATTTAATTAATGCTAACAAATGAGGTAAACAAAATTACATCGCTCAATAGCTTATAGTACCAAATTACTTGCACCAAAGTGAAAAGTATTGTATTTATAAGGAAATCAATCGCAAATTATGGTACAAAAGATATCGCATCATAAATTAAATTTGTTAAAATAATAAACTCTAAATGATTCGCGCATTATGTTATTCGGGAAGATAAATAACCGCCATTACTTTTCAGACAAGTGATTACCATACGCAATTTCATTGCCTGTTGCCAAATAATTCCTCGACGACAATGTATTCGTTAAGCGCAATGAACATGATTCCCGGTACAGGCGCCGCAGGCATATAGCTCACGCCTCAGAGATTTCCCTGTAGAGACCGACTAGCACAACGTTGTAGACGACCATAGATACTTATTCAGAGATATGTCTCCTCAATGGAGCCTGGCCGTCGAAGTTCCCTTCATATCTATTATGAGTTAGTTTATGTACAGATAATAAGTTTCAAGGTAGATGGGAAAAAAAAGGATATCGTTGATTGTAATCTGTATTTCTTCCTTTTGATACTTCACCAAGCAATTACCTTTTCTGTGGCTAAACACCATATTTCCATTAGCCAAAGTTATTCGTTCAGGTGTGGTACTCTTATTAAAACTGACAAACAGGCTTTTATCATTACACATGTGAATGGTGGCTCTAGAATCAATACATTAATAAGCATATAAAATAATAATACTTGTAAAATAATGATGATTAGAAACTTGCTTTACTTCATTAATGTTAGTTGACTTCATAGCTGCGTTGACTTGTTGCTTTTGATCAAGTTTCCATTTCGCATATTTCCCACAATCAGCCTTTACATGTCCTAATCTCTTGCAAAAGAAGCAAATAAGTACTTTATTTTTGTCGGTTAGAATACTTCCCTATAAGAAGAATATAGTTTTAAAGTTTTATCCTCGCTGTCTTTACTAGAATTTAAATTTTCGTTTTGAAGAGTGTCCTAAACTTTATTGTACTTCGTTCGACGAATGCACATGAAAACTAATAATTACATTTTGTCTTTTCTGATTTTAAGGTCGGCTCAAAACTAATCAGATGTATGCAGAGCTTGGACTCAAAGATTTATTGCCAATGAAGATGGTAGAAAAAGACGTTGGATGCATGTCCAGACCTAGAAACGTGTATTGTTTTGACGCTGGTGAGATGAATTTCTGTAATTGTGCATGCTTTTGACTATCTTATATATTAAATTAGACAGAAACTAAAGTATTTCAGATTTCAGTAAAAAGAAAAATCATTTAAGACAAGATATTTGTCTACTTGTCTACACAGAGTTCAAAGGAAAGTCAATGCACACTCTTATTTCAGAATAAATTATCTTAGACTATGCCTGATGGATCTGTCTTTAGTAAACCGGATGTGCCTGTTAAAATAATTTCACAAACGCCGACAAAAAAATAGAACAGTTATCAGTCTAACGTTGTAACGAAACCAGATGCAAGAAAAATCATTTCTTACAAAATAGCTCAATATCAATTAATTACTATAATCGACACCCAGAAATACACTAATGCTAAATAATTACTGCAGTTACGAGGGGTGTTTTTTAAATAAGGGCCGTTTGAAAATAAAAAAAACCAAGCGAAAGAAAATTTTCAAAAAACAAATTTATTTTCAGATTCTACATACCTTTCTCTATTTTTCAACATAGTTGCCACGTTTTTTAAACCTTAGAACTAGATTTTGAATACTTCTTCATAGAAACTTGACCGCCTGCTCTGATAAGCAACAGGTCACAGCTGTTTTCACCATCGTTGTGGTGGTTGCCGCCGAGGCGATGTTTGAGATAGCGGAAAAGATAAAAATCGCTCGGCGCAAGGTCTGGGCTGTAGGGAGGGGTCCAAATCTTCCCAGCCATAAGAGTCCAATAAAGCTCGGATGTGAGCTACGGTGTGAGGCCTTGCATTATCATGGAATAGCAAAATTCCGTCTGTCAGCTTGTTGTGTCTTATGTTTTGAATCGCTCTACGTAGCTTTCGTAGGGTTTGGTCGTAGGCTACAGCATTTTTGGTGGTTTCGCTTTGCATAAAGTCGACCAACAAAACACCATGCTTATCCCAAAACACGAATGCTATGATCTTGGGCTAGGACAATGTCTGTTTGCCCTTGACCCTTACAGGTAAGTGTGCGTGTCTTCACTCCATGTTCTGCTTCTTACATTCGGACGTGACGTGTGAAACCCATGTTTCATTTCTCGTTACTATCCGACTCAAGATGGCGTCACCTTCTTTGTTATAATGAGTAAAAAATTTCAGGGAACACTCAAATCTTTTGTTTTTGTGGTCCTCCGTTAGGGGCTTAGGGACTCAAAGAGAGCACAGTTTCTTAAACCTAAACGTTTTAGAAGCAATCTTGTACAGCACTGACCTAGACACATAAGGAAATTCGTTTGAAAGAGTGCTTATGGTGAAGTGTCTGTTCTCAAAAATTTTCGCTTCAACTGAAGCGACCGTCACCTCCGTGATCACACGTGGGCGACCGGAGCGAGTCTTGCTCATGGACGTTGTCGCGGCCAACTTTGAAGTCTCTGATCCACTTACGCCATTTCCCTTTACTCATGGCAGTAGATCCGTAACCTTCACAAATCTGCCGGTGAATGTCTGCAGTAGACAGGTCCCTTGCTTACAAAACACGTATCACTGACAGTACATGGCATGGTGTGGACGATTCGATAATCTTAAACATTTTAAAAACGTCATGCAGGCTACTTACACAGCTGCAATTGAGCATAGTTGTTTTCAAGGAATGCCGGGACACAACGCAAGCACTCGTTCCGGCCCGCGCGTCACCTATTAGCGTTTAAAACAAAATGGCCCTTACTTAAGAAACATGCTACATATATTTCATCGAACATATATCGATTAAAGAATGCATTGCTTTGACACAAGCATAATTATAAATTAGTTTCTGGCATAGTTGATGATATTCTTTTTATTTATGATCAGACCCATTATTGCTGAAAACTTTCTACCCCTACTGAGCTGTTGATTCCTGTACCTCGATTATTACCCTGTCTCAGGCGTAGAATCCTGAAAGGTATAACTCAAGACCAAGCCATGGGATTCTCTTAAATACCTGAATGTTTCAGTCTGTCATATTTAGATGTTATTAGATATCTGTGCTTCAAAACATACCGTTTACAGTATAAGATATGTAATTTATCTCAAAGCTTCTGATGGTACCTTACTCGTCAGATCACTATTGTATGACGGTAACTTTCTGGCGTGTTTAATCTTGCTTAGAGGTAGACCTAACTGGTATAATCTGGGACTACTTCTTCCGCAATTAAGGGATGCATACGGACTTCCCTTTGCACTCTGAATTTTGTATGTGCGCAAATTAAGTATGAATTCTTATAATAATAGCGTAATATCTCATTATTTAAAAATACTATAGTAAATGCCGTAATTAACATTGATACTGTAAAAAACTAGTACCAATGAGTAGCTTAAAGAAATCGAAAACTAGACAATTTTTTTTTGAGAAGCTGCATACAGAACTTGTTTTACCATAGGTGATGAAAGAGTAAATGAACAACTCATGTTAACTGTGATGCATACATTATGGATGAGAGAACACAACCGAGTAGCTGACACACTGGCTCACATCAACCCTCACTGGGATGACGAGACAATATATCAGGAAGCAAGGCATATTGTAGCGGCAGAAATTCAACACATTACATACAATGAATTTCTTCCTATGGTAGTGGGACGAGACATCGTTGCCAAGTACAAGCTCGAACCTTTTAAACATGTGAGTTTCGTTTTAAATATCTTGCTTACACTTTATCTGACTCAAAAAAGGAATAAAAGAGGTAAGTACATTAATTTATCATTTAAAGACATACATCGTGACTGGTGCTTTACTGGGGATTTAAAGGTAAGTACTCGTTTTTATGACTTTTCAATGCTGCTATTGAGTACGTAAAATACACATCTCTATATCTTAATGTAATACACACATATATATTTCTCAATGTCTTTTTATTTGCTATATTATATCATTCATAATAATTACCAGCCCATTTTTCCGCAATAGGGTTCACAGCAGTCTAATGTCTTAGCTTTGCATTTCTCTGCTCTAAAGCAATACGTCGATATATTGATGCATTATGACAGCTCGTAACGCTAGTTTTAATTAATATTACAGGAATTTCTTTTATAAATTCTGGTATCAATGAAACAAATGAATCTAAACTTCTATAGAAGTTAGCATTAGGATGAAAAATACTTATTTTACAGAAATAAGCCATTTATTGTTAACAAAATTGTCAATAACTATGCAGGTAACCCAGTAACAGATTCATGCTACAATAACAAATAAACTAACCACGTTAGAAATGAATTTGCGTAATTTCGTGCAAAAGTTAATTAGTAAAACTTTTGCAATGTATATAGTAATCTGAAAAAAATCTTATAAATATTGTTATTTAAATATCTATTAATGTAACTTTCTTGCGCTGAAAAAAGGTAATAATGTATTATGTGCATAATAAAACACAATTAGAGATACAATCACATGAAGCATAAGTCGTTTCCTGTGTGAATGACGCGTCAGCGTTAGTACTGTTATTTATTCTAAGAGAAACACTCATTAAATTTATTGTTTATAACAGGGCTATTATGATGGATACAGTCCGAAAGTTAATGCAGGAATACGAGCTGCCTTCCAGTCCGCCGCATTTAGATTCGGACACAGCCTTTTGCCAGATGTCATAGAAAGATACAATAAATTCCACGAAAAAATTGGTGAGTTATGCTTCGCTCATTCTTCATTTTATTCGCTTATTTATTTTTTATTTGATTTTTTCTGCAGTAAAATATTATTTATTTGGAAAAGTAATATGGACTAAAAATTAGTCGTAATGAGACATGCAAATTGCATTTTCAGTTGTTCTATTTAAAAAAGCATAATTGGATCATTTATAATGTTGTATAAGTAATTACTATTATGAAGCACGTTATTAAAAGTTGAACATTTAAATTCAACGATTAAGCAGTTTGTTTTTCATTGACATTTTTAAAGTTACTTAAAGACCCAAATAACACTGATGATTTCATTATTTTTTTAATCTACAGTAGTCTTTTTTTATAATTTAAACTGATTTCAAATATTTTATTAACACTGAGGATTTTGGGCATTTACCTTGTAGAGACATTAGGATTTTTAAAGCAGAAGTAATGAAAAATGAGCAACACCTTGGCCGGGAATCGAACCGTGGTCTTCTGAAATACTCGCCCAGCGTGCAGATCACCACACCACGAAGGCATGCCAAGAAGGTAGAAGAAACACCTTTTTAAGGGCGACCGGGTTTCTTTAGGAGACCCAATCGCCAAATCCTATGTGAGGAGAATAATCACCCAAAAGCCTTTTCGTTCGGGCGCCACTGTAGAGACATTAGGTATTTTTTGGAAGCAGGCAAGATAAAAAATTAGCAACGCCTTCATCGGGAATTCTTCCGCGGACCTCGGGAATTCGCGCCCAGCGTGCAGACCACCAAACCACGAAGGCATGCCAAGAAGGTGGGAGAAATACCTTATAACCTAACCCCGGATATCATTTTCGTATTGTACTATTATAGGAAAGAAATTATTTTTATAGTTACCAAATGCAAAACCTATTGTCTAATATTTTTCGACTGTCAAACACTGGAAGATATTTTAGCACTCCAAACAGGTGAAAAGTATAATAAAATAAAGCATTAAATCAATTTTGTAGTCCTCAATAAGTACCAAATTTTACCAAAGCAAGTAATAATTCATATAATTTTCATTTCAGTGAATTTGCGACATATGATAATGTAATTAATCTGGAAATGGACGAAATTATACTAGTTTACGAAGCTTTATTACGTGCATTTTTAGTTTCAATTCTATCCCTCAGACAGTTTTCGAATCTTGAATATGTAGGTTTGTTGTGAAATGTTATAAGGTTACTTTCTCTCTCCTTTCTGTATACCTTCGTCGTGTAAGGGTAGCACGCTCGACGCGTATTCGAGGGGACCAGGTTCAAGTACCGGCTAGGGCACTGCTCATTTTTCACATTTTCTGCTTTAAAAAATCCTATTAACTTTACAGTGGCGACCGAACTAAAAGGTGGTAGCTGATGATTCTTCACCACCAGGAGTTGGTGATTGGGTCCGCTAATCCCCAGTCGTCCTGCAAAAGGAGTGTAAATTTTCTTCCTTCTTTCTGCATGCCTTCGTATTGTAAAGATAGCACACTCGGCGCGTATTCGAGAGGTCCAGGTTCGAGTCTCGGTGAGGACATTGCTCATTTTTCAGGTTTTCCTTATCAAAAATACCTAGTGACTCTAAAATGTTACTGCCAAAAGTCAGCATTATGCTAACCATGTAAGATTTTCACTAGTGCAATTCTCAGTTGCTGTAGAAACTGACGAATCTTAAGAGCTAGTTAGCGAATAATCGCTTAAGTTCGTGTGACCACTGTTATGTATTAATCGTTATATTTTTTTTTAAGCTTAAGTTGTTTTGCTTATTTCAGTTTTGATTTGTAATTGAAGTTCTAATTTTTTTTTTTTTTGTTGTTTAAAGTTGGTTGTAAGTTTAAATTGTAACTTTTGTAAACTTTAAGTTTTGGTTAGGTTGCTTTTAAAAGTTCTGAGTTGAAGTTGTTTAATTTTAATTTGAGTTTAGGGACTTAAGATTTTTGTTTTTGTTCTAGTTGTTTTGACCCTTAAGGTTGTTTAACTTTTAACTTTAATTTTTTTATTTTAAAACTTTGCTGTTGCACCTTTGTGTGTTAATTTTTTTTTTCTTAACTTTGAGTAATTTAATTGGTATCCCTCTTTCTTTTAACGTTAAACGAATACATACTTTCTGACTGGCGGTAGAAGAAAAATAATTTGATTCTATTTGTATTTCTTTTGGATAAATTGTGTTTAGTCTCAATTGGTGGCTGAGGAAACAATTATTACAGTGCTGACATTTTTATTATGAATTATAATGTTGTGTAATTAGTAGCTTCATTTTTTTTTTTTAATTTCCCAAAGTCATTTTGTATTAACTTAGTTCAGAGATTTTCGCCCCTTGCCCTCTTTCCTTCAGCGGAAATTCTTATCAGCAGTTGTACTGTACTGCACCCCAAAATTCCTTTCTGCTAAGCGTTCCACCATGTGTGGGGGGCGAAGTGCTTGATAGTTTTACCATGTGGTTTTCACGAAAAGAGGACCCTGTTTTGCTGGACCAGGCTAGCAGGGTGATGTTCTACAGCATACTTATGGTGGGGGAAAATATACGTTGAGACAGAAGATCTGCATTATCGACTGGGACCCTGGAGCGAGGCTAGTTTCTTCTCCCCCTGTTTCCGCCTGCAGTTGTGATGACACATTGGTGTGGCCTTGGAAGTTGAACGATGGAATGGCGAGAAACGGCTCCTTTTGGTAGTCGGGAAACCCCTTCCCGTGAAGATCCAGAGTGTGGGTTGCCTTTTTTGGCTTCCTGCTAGTCACCATCTACGCCAAGTTTTCAAAAAACGCGCCAGCTACTAAAACGGCTGCGCAGTGTTTTTCGAGAGGCTTCGGGAGACGGGGACAGTGACGGAGACGACAGAAGAGAGACGGAAAAAAGAAATTTCACGAGAACTTATAAGATGTCAACTTGGGCGAGCAGCTCGGAGGTGAGCCTCATCTTAGACGTAGCAACGTAAATTAACCAACACCGAAGAGAGGCTGCAACACCTATATTTCTAAAATCCTAAAATTTACGCTGTCATGATGGCCTGTGGAGGGAAGACCTGTGTCCTGCTGGTTGGAAGCAGTAATAGGAGGGAAGCCTGGCCTCCGAACCAATAGCTTGGTTGAGTCTCGTCAATCTAACCCCTTTTGTTTTCTAATTTCAGATACTATCCCAAGTTTTTCTTGAGAAATAAGGTTCGGTAACGAAACTCAAATATATGAAGGATCCCTAATATGTTAAAGAAGGGTATGTCATCCTTTTCTGTTGTTTTCACATTAGTTCTTTAATTGATCCAGCCACCACGTTTAATTGTAATGTTTAGTGAGGTCATGACTCTCTTTTATGTTTTGTAATCATAATATTTTCCTACCTTAAATAAACGTAAGTTGATTTTATTCTCCTGTCTGTATTTATTGTAATTATCTTTTACACTGGACCTTAAACATAGAACGGGTTAACAATATTTTCACAACGCAATTATGGAGTTGTTTACGTATTTTGTTTTTATGTTTCACTATGACTGCTCCCAATACTTAGTATGTTATTGTTACAATATTGATTGATATGTTAAGTGACTTATACTCACAGTTACCTACTGCATAACCCAGAATGAACTTTTGCTCTAGTTGTTTCACAGATATGGTGTTCATTTGTAATTATTTATTAAGTATGAATTTATGTTGTTTATATAACATAAAAATAAAAAATTAGAACTTCAATTACAAATCAAAACTGAAATAAGCAAAACAACTTAAAAAATATATATAACGATTAATACATAACACCACAAACAACAAGATGGAAGGGTAACTAACCCTTTATTATTCCAATAAGATTTAACAAATCTCCGTCTTGGAGTGTGCAATCAAAGCCGACACTTGGGCTTGAACTTGGACTAAGAATTAAACTAAAAACTAAGATTAACTAAAGAAATATAGCCGAAGCTATCAAGTTTCTAATGCAGTTGCCCCTTAAACACCAGATGATTGCGAAGCTATCAAGGGCCTGAGTACGGCCGAGCGTAATAACAGCTTTGAGAGAGAGAGTGGCTAAAAGGCAGACGCGCGTAAATCAGAAACTCTGATTCTCTCTCGCTAAGACCGAAGAACTTCGCGGCTAAATACCGCTCTTCCTCATTATGTATTCAGACGTGATTTTAAAACTACGTTCTGGCCGGAAGTAGTAAGTTGAAGTTAAGAATTTGACAGAAAAGGAACTTACAAATTTAACTGTTAATAAAATTAACATTATCCTTACAACCTATACAAAACTTATTACAAAACAGTACCATTACTAAACTCAAAGCAAGAAAACACACAATATTTTATAATTTTCATATAACATGGAGCGGCACTCCTTACTATTTTTATGTTACTTTAAGAACTTAGTAAATATGGAATAAGCAGTCTCTTTAGTATCAATAGTCATCCAGATTTCTATATTTCACCTAATGATTTCTTATTATGGGTCTTTATCAAGACAGGTGATCATCCAAACGTTAATAGAAGTATGAAAAGACGCTACGCATCAGTACGTGTAGAAGTGATTATGGCCGAGCAATGAATGACCGTCTGACGAACAAAATTATTTTTTTTAAACTGCGCAACGAAAGCGCGAAGAAAACTTTCTACATTCACATAAATGCTTGATTAGATTTGGGCTAATACTGCACGATTGGAAGTGGTACTTTACTTGAAGCCCCTAACAGTTTTTATTGAAAACCTAGATTAAAATATAACCCAAAACTTTTCACTTTTAGTATTTAAGACTTAATAGATGGGAACAGCATATTAGATTTTGACTAAATTGATAATCCAGAAGTGATACATTACTTGAAGCCCTGAAGAAATTTTCAGGAGAAATATATCATGATATAATTCGAAACATCTCAGATTTGGTATTTAAATCTCATATATGCATATACAATCATGATTGAGAACAGCCTGTTAGATTTTGGCTATGTATGATAAACCGGAAGTGATACTTGAAAAACCTAACAGATTTTAGTAGAAAATATAAAATCATTGTAAATAAGATTTTAATCTAAAACAA